TTTTTTTTTAACGAAACATCAAGGAGGCAGTTACAAGAAGATTGGTTACTATGACAGTTCACAGAAGAATCTCTCCTGGTTTGGCAATGATGTCTGGATTGGTAAGACAGACATTTTTACACTGTTTTTGGCCCTCACCTTGTTCCTGTATTTGCCTTCTGTTCATCATGCTCCTATTTATTTCTGTTACATTACTGTGATTTGACGTTAAACCATTTACCATTTTTAGGTCACTTAATGAGCCTTTGGTTCAAAACAGTATTTAATTAAGAAATGAAACCTCACTCTGAAAAAGCTTTGTGCAGTTTTTTGTGATCAATTGTTATCAGTTGTATTGTATTTTTAATCGCATTTTCAGAAGAAATAAAAAGAGCCTTAACAAAATAGTTATGACACAAGTTGTAACCAATATACAAGATAAACGATAAAGTCAAGATAAAATCATATCATGAACCAATAATCGAGATCCGTATCGTGAGTTTAGTGGTACATCCCTACTGCTGTGTCAATAATTTGAAATGTCATTTCTCAAGGTTTTTTGGGGGGGGGTTTCAGGAAATCCCCACGTATTCAAAGTTGAAAATGTCCCAAACATTTCAGAACCACTTCTTTATGTTAACAAATGTTAACATTTGTAACATTATTAAACATTTAAAGAAAGCTTTTGTTCATTGTAGGTTTGTTTTTTTGGGGGGAATTTAAAAGTTAAAAAAAAAAATCGACTGTGTAAAAAAAGCATTTTGTGTGGATATGAGCTTTTATTATCTCTAATTGAATTTATTCTTTCTGTTTAGGCGCAGGACCTCCAGCCGATCGGACTGTGGTAATTGAGGAGTACCGTTTCTTGTCTCAAAAGCTGTTTGCCGCCGTATCTGTCTTTGCTGGCCTCGGCATCTTGCTTGGCATCATCTGCCTCACCTTTAATATCTACAATGGCAATGTTCGGTTAGTTAACTAACGTTTTTATTTGGTTCACTAGTTTGATCTTTCCAGTAGGATTGTTTTCCCTGTTTAGGCATTGGTCTTTTCCACTTTCTACTCCAGGTTTCTCCAACCGTCCAAAAACACACTCCTTAGGGAATCAGGTTGATCAGTCACTCTAAATTGACCCAAGGTGTTAATATGAGCGTGAATGTGTGGCACTGCGATGGTATAAAGGTAGATAATGGGTGGATTGAAATGTATCGCCTATTTTTTAAAACTGCTAGACAAGACACTAAACTGCCGGTTCCATGTTCTGAATTACAGAGTATAATCCTAAATAGAGAATACAGGTCATTTTTGTGTGCCCATTTTCTCTGTAAACAACGGCAAATACATGATCGTACACATACTAACTTTCATACTAAACTTCTAGTAATAATTTAAAACACGAGGGCAAGGTCAATAGTTTTAAAGCAAGCGAATGTTTCGATGGCATCCAGTTTAAAAAGCTAAAACATGTTAAGCGATGTCTCACTCTCTATCTGGAATAGGTGAGCGTATAGAACAGCTAGCATATACACTCTGTTAGCGATTCTCGACTACTGTATTGTGGCACGCTGGTGTGCTGTGAGAGATTGTCAGGTTTGTCTTGGTGCCTCCGCGCTGCATTGACACACACCTATGAATTTTTTTTTTTTCACTGGGTGGCAGTAGATATAAAAACGACAAGCTGTGTGAGTTCTCAGTCACCCAGGCCATCTTATGTGTAACAGTTACATCAAAGGCAACTGGTCTCTCTTCTTGAAGTGGCTTCTTCAGTTCTAACTGGGAAAAAATTCTACTGGGAATGCACATATTCTACCTGTTGCATATGTCAACCTGAGAAACCTCCACTCAGTAGTCCTGGTGTCCTGAGTTATTTCTCCAGAAACCTCAAACCTCTTCTAGATACCAATGCAGACAGACTCCAAGGATCACACAGCCCTGTTTTGTACTCGAGTGATACCGGTGTACTATTGGGCTATAACCATCCTTCATTCACAATTTAACCCTTGTGGCGACAACATTCCTCCCTTTTCAAGTGTTCAGCCACTTAGGAGATAAATACCAGAATTTTCTCAGCTGTCAGTTTGAATTTTAGAAGCCTCTTTGATGTGTTCTGGTCAAATCAATGATTCACATTAACCCTTTGATGCATGACCCATGATATACTGAGTTAAAAAAAAAAGTTACTAAGTGTTTTTATGTGTTTTTAGACATAAAAATAAGAACTGATTTGGTTCTGTTTTTATACAACAAATTTTCTTTTTGAATAACATAATTATTCTGCAGTTGCAAAGGCTGACCACTGTATGGCAGTGTTGGGTGATTCTCAGGCGTCCACTGTAGAGGCTTATATGGCAACACTGCCATCAAAACCTATTCTTATCATAGAAAATTACATTTTAATAGCTGTCCACCGTAGTGACCGTCATGCATGAAAGGGTTAAAGCAAGGGAACTCCAGTGATCCCTTTCCTATAGTTATTATACAATTTACGTATATATATTTACCCTTTTACGAAACTCCCCCACATGGTTATCAACCCCTCTCTAGATTGTATTACCCTTTCCCACACAATTATATGCCCAGTAGAGTTGTATAATAGCGACGCAGAGCGAAGTGAACGAGAGAGTGGCCGACAGACAAGGGGAGACGCTGAGAGATGCGACGATGCATGAGCCAATCAGCGTGAGGAACAAAAGAGCGTGCTCAATTAGCCAATAGTACATTGAGAACGCATTGTATTACGCCACTACTATGCTGTGTACGATCTTGCCTAGGTAAATGGCGATAGTTCGCAAATGCGCTTATCTCAATTTAAAAAAGGAAAATCCACATTTTTAAAGCCAACACTTTCGCACGTATAATTATTTCATAATCTCTTTTAGTTTATGTTCTGCTATTTTTGCGATATATAGCGAAAATTTTGTGAGTATAGGATTAAAAAAAAAGTCAGTGCAATGTAGGGCGGGAAAGGAGAACCACGATATAGAGAGCGAACATTGCATTCAATACTAAAAGTGGAGTGTAGCTGTATTGTCATTGCAAAGTTGCATTCAATACTAAAAGGGGAGTGTAGCTGTATTGTCATTGCAAAGACATACTGTTTGTTGCATGAGCAAATATAGTTGAATTGTTGTTTTAATAATAATATTTTAAATATTTATAAAAGCTTATTTCGTTGCTTAAGTGATTGAAATGTTGCGAAGGAAGGTTTGTTCTCAACATGTTGTAATAATTGTGTGGCTTTGTTGGAATGTGTTATTGTTTTAGCTACATCCAAAATTCCCAGCCCTACCTCAACAATATGACAGCAGTTGGCTGCATGATGGCTCTGGCTGCGGTTTTTACTCTAGGAATTGATGGGCACCATGTCCACAGAGCATCATTCCCTGTTGTCTGCCAGGTAGGCGCACGCATGTACAAACACACACATACATACTGTAAACCCCTTTTGGCCGGGCTGACCAACCAAGATAGAAGAGAAGACTTTTCTGGTAGAAAATTAGAGATAAGGAATGTTTTTTTATTTTTACACTTTATTGACCCTTATATTTGTGAATATTATTTGAAAAAATAATATATTAAAATAATATATTATAAATAATAAATAATAATAATAATTATTATAAATATTTAGCATTAAGATTAGCTCGTAGTTGTTGTTTAGTCTAACTGAATTATTCAACAAATGCTGGAGGTGTCAAATGGCATATACTGTACCAGTAAGTTAGCTTGCTCATTTTATGCTGCGTATTTTTGTATTGACTACTGACACCTATTGGTAGAACTGTGAATTATAATTCTTTAGTTTTTAATTTTAACATGACTATTGTCCTGGTAATGTCTCTGACACTATATGCAGAATCCCATTGGACAAATCAATCATGGTCAGAGTCAAAGTCAGAATTAGCAAATAGCATTGGCTGATTAGCAAAGACACACAGAAGACAAGAAATGCCCTGATGGTACAGTATAAATCTAATGTGCTTTTTGTCTTTTCAGTTTAATAAGAAGAAATTTTTCAAAAATACTTAAATATCAATTAAGTTCCCTTTCACCACTTGTCGTCTCCATGGCAGCACTAGTGATTTAACAAAGTTTTTATATTTAATGCTCCTCCTAATTTAGCCCTGATGCATTACAGGGTAGAAAGGGTTAGCGCAACTGGTCTGAAGAAAAACAAAAATTAACCTGACAGAACAACAGCAATGATGATTTTTATAGTATCCTGAGAGACCCAAAAATGCATTATAAAAGAATGAAAGATAATAAATATGCAGCAGACTTAATAAAGTTTTTCCAACCTTCTCAATGCCATTGTGTATTTCTTGAGACTTGGATAGGACATCCTTCTTTCTCTTCACTTCATTAGTAAAGTCATCACAGACTCGCCGCAGCTCCACGCATTTGGGTCGAATGGAGTCGACGGCGTAGTGGTTGCTCTGAATCAGTTGGTCTCCATGTAGAGCATGGAGCTGAGCCTTCTCTACGGTTGGCTGAAAATGACAGGAAAATTACACTTTTATTGAACAAAAAAAAAATTCAAGTAGCTCACATCTTATAGATGCACACAAATCATGCAGAGCAGCTGAGGGAGGTTTATTAGAGAACCTCACTGTGTGCCTCTCAACATTTGGTTTCAAACCATTGGACCATTGGACGTTTGCCGTCATGGTTATTATGTCTTTTCTGTCTTTGCTGTGTAATAATGGTTATAATCCAATAGAGATACACAAAGAGTGTGAAAACAACTTTTCTTATTTCATTTATTAATAATTCATGAAGGAAATCAATCTAAATCTGATCTACCTGAGCTTTGTCAGCCAGTGTTGTTAGTTCTTTCAGAAGATGCTCGACACGGGCCAAAGAATCCCCGAAGACTGGCAAGCTGGTAAGGTTGTCTGACAGACTGTCCAATGACACTTTGACCTGGAGTGGGCAGAGAGACAGAGGGGACAGAGATGAGGACACGGAGACAAAGATAAACACAGGCCTCCTTTGGACCTCTCTATAGCACTATTGCTATTAAGTTGTTCAAAAATACATACACACATATACTTACATATGTGTGTGTATACAGTACTTACCTCTCTAAAGTCCTGTTCAAAGTGACGTAGCTGCAGACACTGCTCCAGCCTCAGATGATGTTTGCACCAGAACTGTTCAAAGGCATTGTCTGTTTCATCCAGTTGAGCCAAGAGCCTAAAATACACACACGCACACACAAATACAAATACAGTATAGGTTTACATTTATATTTATTTGTGTGTATAGATGTACGAGTATTGATGTACGAGTATTTGCCCTAACTGCTATGTCAAATGTATACCAAACATACCGAACGGTACCGAACAGTACCATGCATTGTCAAATGTGTCAAAGGAAGTAACAGTTACAATTAACAAATTAATGTCACTTAATTTGTGAAATTAATTAGATAAAAAAATTTTTACGCATGGGCAAAATTCCACAAAGTATATTGATAGACTATGAACTTCAGGTGAGATGCCTGGCATGCCTGCATGACGAGTGTAGGTTTTAAAATCAACTCTTAACGTGTTCTACAAACTAACGTCAAGATGACACAATAATAAATAATATTCACCTCAATGAAGCAAAATTTTTGAATTTTAAGTCAAGTCTAGTCAAAATTCCATTTGTCGAAAGTCGAAATTCACAAATCATATTTGTCTCAATTAACTTTACAGTTTGAAATTTTTACATTTTTTAAATTAAACTTAAAATATCCTTCTGGCATTACACAGGAACATTGAATGTTGATTTATTTTGATTTCTTATGACGTTTTTTTGTTTTCATTTCCTAAGCTTCTGTAAGGTGCTAGGGGACTCCGGTGGTAGTGCTCTCTTTACCAGAAGGATCGGCGTTTATACTCCTTAGTCCCCAAACAAATTAAAATGTATGCACAAAGGTGCAGTTAAAAAACTCCACTGCCCAATCCCCATCTGTATCATTGTCCGCTACAGCTGCTCCTGGATGAACCTGAAAAGTAGATTTAAATCGGCATGTCTGTTATTTTCTTTAATGATTACCATTAAGAAAGCCATTTCATGGCCGAGCATTCAAAAATTAAAACCTATTATTTTTTCCAGTTTGGTTCTGTTTTATAGTTTTGCTATTGTTGGTGGTGCCAACTATTGTAACTATGCTTTTTCTGTTTTTTGTATCATTCAAATTTTGACAGCAACACCTGGAGCCATGGAAACTTTATGTGACGGTTGGAATTCTGCTGGCTGTTGACTTCCTGTCCCTCCTGGTTTGGCAGACCGTGGATCCCCTGCACATTACAGTTGAGGTACAGTGGTGTCATCACCAATCAGGAAATGTAATCATTTGGAGGCTTAGGTCCTCTATGACAGCACATTAATACTAGGTAGATGGAAGTAAATACAACTATTGTGGGAACATGTAGTATCCAAACGCAGTTTTAATGTGTTGATAAGCAATTTTTTCATCCAGTGTTTTCACAAAAGCCTTTCACGTTTTAATAAAAACAAAAACTAGGGATGGCTTGATACAAGCTTTTCATGGCCAATACTGACAGACCTGCAACTAGGATCATCTGCTGAAATTGATATCAATCTGGCACCTTCTTTTCTCTACTAGCATGCCTAACTTAGCATATATGAATGTTGATAAGCAATTTTTCATCCAGTGTTTTCACAAAAGCCTTATACCAACCCCCCGCCCCCCGACAACCTGATAATATGTTTAATATTTATCTATACAAACCACTGTACGAGTTGCTGCCACCTAGTGACTGGAGGTTTGTTGACATTCAAGCATTACAGCAGTGGTCCACTTGCCATATTCTATTGGAAGCCCCTCAGACCTCCCTCCACCCCGGCACCTCACACGCCAATATTGTGATTCATTGACCACTTTCTAAGACTTTAGTGAAAATTTGCATTCAGAAAAAAAAAAAATTGCCCAATGCTGCTTCCCTTTCATTTCTCTCTTATTTTATTTTACTTTTTCCCAAAGTCCTCATATTTCTCCCTGTAACACTATCATTCTATGTGTACCTGGCCTGTACCATTTGCAGTTTTTGGAGTCTGCCCCGCTTCCTTCTTTCACATAATGTAATGATCAGAGTCTGCCCTCACATATGATTGCCTCTATGGTGTGCCTATCAAAATAACCCTTTCATGCATGACGGTCACTACAGTGGACAGCTATTTCTACAGTGGATTCTCAAGCGTCCACTGTAGAGGCTTATATGCAACACTGCCATCAAAACCTATTTGTGTGCTGCACATTTGACACCAACAATAACAATGAATTGCCAGCGTGTACAGTCAAAAGCTGCTCGTCATGTCACGCTTACATACGTTCTTATATCAGAAGGGTCTGGCACTCGGGCTTTCTACCCTTGCCCGCCAAACACTGGTACAAAGCATGGTAAAGACTGATGTGATCCCTGACAATCAAGTGTAATTTCTTTTGATGCCACTAAGGGGAAGCAAACAAAATGTTTAGGTTTATTCTTGAACTATTTTCAACCGGCATTCTACATCCAAACAATACTGAACGGGCCCACCAGTCAGATTTTGAACCTCATTTTGGTCAAAAGGTTTGTCTCCCCCTGGTGTGGAAGGAAGATGTTCAGTTATGCTCAGCACGGCTGGGTAATACCATCTTGGTGTATGGTGTATAAATACACTAGGTTAAAGAAGAAAAAAATGACCCTCAATGCAAATTAATACTGTATTTGTCAATAATCTCAATAATACAATCCTTAATTTCAGTTCAGGAATGTCGTCATTTCATACATTTCAGGAGTTTTGGAAAAATCATTTGCTCCAGTGCTTCACAAATAGTGAGGCGCATCCCCCTGGGCGAGGGGGAGAAGGGGGGGGCACGGTGAGGTGTCATGGCGGGAGGCGAGAGGGGCTTTCAGTCTACTGTCTTTACTCATGCTTGAACAATGAACAAGCCTCCAGTCACTAGATGGCAGCAGAGCAGCTCATTTTATGATTTTTTTTTTATATATATTCAGAGGATTGTATGCAGAATGCTAAGGGGGGGGGGTACTTTAACATACTACTTGATATCAGTATCTGTCTTGTTAGTAGATCTGTGTTGTCTTTTTCTAACAATAAAGGTTTACCTCAGGCTAAAGAGTAAACAGCATACCCACTTTTTGATGTTCTGTCTTTCTCTTCCTGTTTCTTTTCTTTTTCCTTCTTATGTCAATAGAAATTCACTAAGGAGGCCCCCAAAGAAGATCTGGATGTCCTGATTCAGCCGTTGTTGGAGCATTGCAACTCAGAAAAGATGAACACATGGCTTGGTATTTATCTACACTTTTAAAGTCTAAGTAAAATGTATGCAATACGGATGCATCGAAATGAAGATTCTGAGCCAAAATTAAAGGAAATTAAATGAAGGAAACAAGGGCCGAACGCTGAATACTATTGTATTCATGGCTACGACTGTATACTAATCTCACTAATATCAAGGCATTGTGATTCAATAAATTCATATTAAAGTTTCAAAGAATGAATCAAGTACAAAATTGTGAAAATGTTTGTTTAGCACATTTCAACAATGCGCTATATAAAATATAATAAAATGAAATGTTTAACTTGACTCCACATTAAATAATAATGTGCAGGCCTACTGGCCTGATAGGTAGATATATATTCCTGTAGGTTTTTTTTATATCTATGTATTTTATATTTTGTTTTTTTTTTTATATCTATGTATTTTATATTTTTATATGTCAAGTGTTTTTCTTCCATTTTTTTCTTCTATACGTCCGTGCTGAAATTTAACTGTGGAAATTCCAACATTCGTGTACAACTTAAACGCACCATTAGTCACAGACGGAAAACATTACCGGCAATGTTTGATGTCTTATGTAGGGACACTGTGGGGGACAGATGGGGGTTACTGTGAACCTGAGAGGGGGGTCATGTCCCCCCTTGTCCCTAGTGGCCTGCTGAAAGATTGTAAAATGAAATCTGCACAAAGTGCATCCAAGTCAAGTGCATTTAATTTTTTTTTTCTGTAGGACTATTACAACTGCGCATTCAAAACAGCTGAAAAATATATCAATATTTTATTTTTTATTTTCTTTGGTTGGCCTTTACAAAGTTATCTTTGTTCTGGAAATACAAATCAAAATATTGTCTTTTATTTTATTGCTAAATTACATATATGTACTGTATGTTGATAATATTTTTGGCAAAAGGTTGCACAGTGCACCCCCTAGACACAAATTGAATCCGTCTTAATCCACTCGTATCTAGATCGAATATTCCACATTAACCCTTTCATGCATGACGGTCACTGCAGTGGACATCTATTAAAATGTCATTTTCTATGATAAGAATAGGTTTTGATGGCATTGTTGCATATAAGCCTCTACAGTGGATTCTCAGGCGTCCACTGTAGAGGCTTATATGCAACACTGCCACGAGGAAAGTGATGATGACCAAAAGTCATCCTTCATAACAAGAAGGCTGGTGTCTTGTAAAAAGGCAGATGACATAATAAGAAAAGGCTTAAAACAATATGCTGGGTTCCATAATTTAGTATCTGCTAAAACGTAGGAGGTAATAGGTACGACTTAAACATCATTTACATGTGTTGATGATTTTCTTTTGAACTCCCTGAAAATCCATATTCTCACTGTTGCCTTTCTCCTTGCAGGTGTGGTTTATGGCTATAAGGGTCTGCTGTTGCTACTTGGCATATTTTTGGCTTATGAGACTAAGTCTGTGTCGACGGAGAAGATCAATGACCATCGGGCAGTGGGAATGGCCATTTACAATGTTGCTGTGAGTTGAGAAAAAAAAAAAAAAGATCTGAAAGATAATAATACTGTCCTCACATCCGAAATTCTTGTTTCTGGCTGTTTCTGTCCACAACAGGAATGCAGGGTGGTATTAACATGGCAATGGTTTTCTTTACCCAGATAACAATAAATAACAATGTCACGTCTTGAAGTGTTGTCTATAGGTGACAGTAATTCACATCAAGACTGAATGGTATACCTTAACTTTCTCTGCTGGGTCCCTCTTTAGTTCAATTAAAAAATGTTGCACCCCCACCACAAAAAAAAAAAAAAAAAAAAGTGTTAAGATTTTGGCTGAAAAATCTCAGTGATACAATTAGATGCACAAGGCTCTGAGTCTCAGAGAGAGAAAAAAATGGCTCTCAATTTATTCTTAAAGCTTTTAAAGAGATCATTGAGGTCATTGTTAAATACACTCCTGAGTGTGTATACCTACTAGTTGTACTACCGCTAGAGGGCACTCTAGGCTTGTGTACCAGTATCTACTACTCCTGTACCACTGAAAAATGTACATGTTCACACCGACAGCCGCTAGAGGGCACTGGTGCGACTTATACTCCAGAGTGACTTCTTGTCCGTTAAATGCGTTCGTTCTTTTATTCGTTTAACCTTCACTTTCTGCCCATGTTTGTCTGCAGGTACTGTGTCTGATCACCGCTCCGGTTACGATGATCCTGTCGTCGCAACAGGACGCTTCTTTCGCTTTTGCCTCTCTAGCAATAGTGTTCTCCGCCTACATCACCCTTGTGGTGCTTTTTGTACCGAAGGTGCTCTTTTTCACAAATGTCTGATTTTTCTTTGAAACTGTGTGAATGTTTTCATCAGTCTTTTTAAGATGAATGTTAGTTGTGGTCATAAACGAAATAAATGAATAAATGACCAGAGGGTCATTTGAGGTGGCTGTGCGCCGAAAATTAGGCTTATGTTTTACAATAAGTCAACTGTCAGGTTGAACAGTGTTGTGAGAGCGGAGAGGAAGATAAAGTTTATCTTAAATTTTATAGCTAAGCAGTTTTTTTTTCATAGCACAGCAATTATTTGCACTAATATAATAGATAGATGGATGGATGGATGCATGGATAGATAGATAGTTAGATAGATAGATAGATCGATAGATAGATAGATCGATAGATAGATAGATGGATGGATGGATGGATGGATGCATGGATAGATAGATAGTTAGATAGATAGATAGATGGATGGATGGATGCATGGTTAGATAGATAGATAGGAAATGTGAAGGGATGGATGGACAGAAATTACAGATTAGCAACTTTTAATTCCTGTTGGAATGTGTGCTAAGGCATTTTGTTTAGCATTAGTGTCAAACAGATTCAATTCAAACATACCTACTTTAACAATTTCAAAATTCACCAATTCTTATGTTTTACGAATCAATACAAAAAACTAACATGCCTAACATTGGTTCCCGAAATTGAAGTTGACCTTGAAAAAATTAAATTGCTGAACTGTTGAGAACCTTGTTTATTTCTTTGTCCCTAAAGTTGATGTTATCGTTAAAAAAAAAAAAAAACAGAAATCTTTTGGAGAGGTACAACTGAAATCATCGAAGTGCAGTATGTTTGCTCTTGAAAGTTTGCTTCTCCCTCTGTAACAGTATGCAGTGGTTCTCAAACTGTGGTACGCATACCACCGGCGGTACGCATACCACCGGCGGTACACGAGCGCTCTCTAGTGGTTCATGGGGAAAATTCACATTTACACATTTACATTTTCAATTGAATAAATCTGAATGGTGGTACTCAGAGAGCTCAATGTTTTCTCAGGCGGTACAGAGAATAAAAAGTTTGAGAACCACTGTCCTAATCAGTATTATCAAGTGTTCCATTTAGATCTAATAGGACCGAAATAGATGAATGGAGGCCTTGAGTACATCTTATCATATCAATATAGAACTGAAATGAATGACAGTTTTCTAGACTCTTTCTCTAACACCTTGCTTCTGTGGGCAGATGCGCCGTTTAATAACCCGTGGTGAATGGCAGTCGGAGCAACAGGACACTCTAAAGACTGGCTCATCTACCAACAACAACGACGAGGAGAAATCTCGACAGCTAGAAAGAGAGAACATAGAGCTGCAGAAAATCATCCAAGAGGTAAGAAGATCTAAAATGATCGTTCTCAACTTTACAATGGTGCTGTGCATCTCTCCTGAGTTCAGTAACTGAAGACTAAATATCCAAGGATATGAAAAGCTCCACCATACTACGTATAACACCATGTTACCTAACCTGCGCTTTCAAATATCCCCTGGGCCTTAAACCAACATAAAGCGTAAATATGTGTTAAGTGACAACATTAGAGTGACTTATTCAAAGAGAAACCTTATTGTAAATGCAGTACTTCTCAAGTAGTACTTCTCATGCGCCCTCCCCCTCGGAGCTGCTTAGCTTATACTAATATGTTCCGGAGCCACTCATAATCCAGAAAATACAGTAATTCTTTTAATTTAAGTATGTGCAACTTTGGAGACCACATGAAGACACGATATGGCAGGGTTGTCAAACACATTTTGGTTCAATCAAATTAGATGTCAAGTGGACCGGACCAGCACAATCATAACATAATGACAAAAATGATTTCCCTGATTCCATGATTTCCCCTTTTATTTTCCTGCAAATACTGTCATTTCCGGACTATTAGACGCTACTTTTTTCAAACCCTTTAAACCCTGCGGCTTAAACAATGATGCGGCTAATTTATGGACCTTTACGGGCTAACGGAGTTCATACCGCAAGTGATCAATGACGTTTCTGGTAGGCTACTGTGCGTTATACTAGTAGTGTATGTTTGTCCGTGAATGGTTGTGTGCGTATATGTGCATGGGACGTGTGCGAGAGAGAACGGTAACGAAAGTTGGCGTCAGTTTGAGCCCTGTTAAAGTGTTAGTTGGTTATACAGGAGCTGTTTATGTTCTGTTGTGCTCGGTGTGGCTGATAATAAAGACTTCCAGAAACTTTCCCTGTTTCTGTTTTACCTCTGCTGCGGACAAGCACAAAGTGATTTTTGAGTTAGCCCTGGAGCTAATGTTAGTTTCTGCCCTGGAGCACATTACTAAGTCTGCCCTCGGAATTCCATCTACGGTCAGAGCTCCGAAGCAGGAAAGAGCTAACGTGTAACCCGCCGTGTTACGGGCACGGTTCGGAAAAAAGCATTTATTTAATTAAAAGTGAAAACAAAAAAAAAATCTTTCTGTGTAACTATCCCATGTTACAACGTGGACACCTGCAGCTTATAGAGAAGTGTGGCCTATGTATGTACAATTATTCTTTTTTTTTTTTATTTAGTGGGTGCAGCTTATATTCATAGGCTTCAGATTAGGATGACTGAACTGTACTCTCTTTTGTCATATTTACAGAAAGAGGAAAGAGTATCAGCACTTCGCACGCAGCTGGCTGAGCGACATGCTGTACGTAACCGCAGAAGGCCCTCCAAAGGCCAGAACCACATTGTCCCACCACCTTCATCCCATCAGGACCCCAAGTCGATGCTTCCTCCACCTGGCTTCCCCAACACCGCCACAGACAATTACTCCCTCCCCGCCTCTTTCTCCAACTCCTCCAATCTCTATCCGACTGAAAGCAAAATGAGCCGCAACCACTGTCACAATAGCCAAATCCCACTGCTTTACAAATAGGTGAAGCATTTATGGGGTTTAACCCTTTCATGCATGACGGTCACTACAGTGGACAGCTATTAAAATGTCATTTTTCTATGATAAGAATAGGTTTTGATGGCAGTGTTGCATATAAGCCTCTACAGTTGATTCCCAGGCGTCCACTGTAGAGGCTTATATGCAACACTGCCATCAAAACCTATTCTTATCATAGAAAATGACATTTTAATAGCTGTCCACTGTAGTGACCGTCATGCATGAAAGGGTTTAGGGAAGGGTGCAAAACATGGAGACACTGTGACCTTTTATGGGGGGGAGGGGTGCGTATAGTGACACAGTTTAACATATATAGTTAAAAAGACAAGGCACGTAAACAACAGCAGTGCTTCAAAAGTCACAGATAGGAGAGTCTTAAAAAAGCACACACACACACACACACACCCACACACACACACAGATAGTATCTGCCATCAAGAGTTTTATTCCTACTGTGTTTTAGTTAGCAACACAGCACACGGCACAGGAATAAACACATCTTCAGACCTTCCACTCTAAAGGTTTCTGAAATGGATCCTTGACTGGAAAGGTCACTATGTCATTTGTCTGTGTCCTGTTGTGGAGATGCAAAAGATTTTCCTCTTTTTTTTGTGTGTCTTTATCGCCATCTTTTGCTTTAAGTTTTGGGATTTTGACAGGCAAATACAGTATTGGTTCTAATGTTCTCTGATATCTGATTTGTTTTGTCATGGAGTTTTTGTATTATTTGCGTGTTTGCTAAACCACTGCTGACTGAACGAGAACAAAGTCGATGTTGCTCACTTAAAAAAAAAAAATGGAATTGAATTATTTGAATCGATTTTTTTACGGAAAATATACTCTCTCTCTCTCTCTCACTATATATATATATATACTGATTTAGCAATCATTTTGAAAGAAAAATAATATTTAACAGCAAAAATTATTTTCAACATAATTTAATACATAGAAATGACAGGCATTAATTTAAAGAACCAAATATGTTTGGTTTTTTTTTTTTTTTTTGAAAGACGAATTATTTTAAAGTAAATTGATCCCTTCCATTATGTAAAGTTTCCTATAGAATATTTTCTAATATAATTCAAAAATGTGATTCATCTTTTTAAACGAACCTAACATTACATTAAAGAAAATGTTTTCATATGTCAACGAACTAGTTGTTTGTTTTATTTGCACCTATTAATTTTGGTTTTAGGAAATACACAGCATTAATTTAAAAAAAAATCATTTCTACCAGAAATACTCTGTAATTTATTTATATAAACTGAAGAAAAAAACCCATTTTTGTTTATTTTTAAACTTACCTTAATTGTATACTTCTAATGATATGTATATATAAAACAATTTAAGGATAAGAAATTGTCAATGTACGTCATGTAAAACAAACATGTATTGATCATTTTCGACTTTAACAAAGATTTACATTTTTTAGATTTATGTGTTGTCTGGAATAGCACTTGAATACAGTAGTACCTACTAAATACTTTCAGCTTTTCACGTATTTAAAAATCCTATGACACATGTTGGTGAAAGAACAGTTCTCTACGGCTTGTTGTTGTTGTACTGAGGCAGTGCAGTGAAATGTTTGATGGCAGTGGTTGGGACGTCAGATAAAGCTTTTTTTTTTTTTTTCCTGTCATTCAATCAATTCATGTTTTGCTTTAGTAATAAGGTATTTATATGAATGCCCTCGTATTTACTTTTATATATAGTGTTGACTTTAAAACGACATTTAAAGTTGAATATGAGAAAGAAGCTTGTACTGTATGAAAAACTGCATCTATTCACCAGGTTATCTGGACACCAAACCTCATCTAATGGCGTCTCGTTCTAATACTATTCAGTACTATATAAAGGTTAAGTGTTAAAGGCGTATATCAGGTTATATTGGTATCTGGTTTGTGTTGCATTAAGGCAATGGTTCCCTCTGCTGGGGAAAAGTTTTTGCGCCCCCATCCAAAAAAAAAAAACCCAAAAAACCCCAGGACAGACACACACACAGTGATGTTTCATCTTATTCGATAAAATGTGTTTAATTTATGCTAGCATTGCCACCTTTGGATTGAATTGGCAATATCAAAAACGAGTACAGAATTAAAAATAACAGCCTCCTTTGCAATATCATTATCATTTTACACCACCTTCAACTGATCATGTTTTTTTTTTGTTTTTTTTTTGCCAGTCTCTTGTTAAACATTTACAGCATTGGACAATATACTGCGTTATGTTTCCTTCATTCATTCCATCTGTGCCCTCCTCCCAGCAATGGCACTGCCACCAGCCCACGGGGGGCCCATTTTGGGAACCCTTTGCATTAACCCTTTGATGCATGACCCATGATATACTGAGTTAAAAAAATGTTACTAAGTATTTTTATGTGTTTTAGACATAAAAATAAGAACTGATTTGGTTCTGTTTTTATACACCAAATTTTCTTTTTGAATGTTAACACAATTATTCTGCAGTTGCAAAGGCTGACCACTGTATGGCAGTGTTGGGTGATTCTCAGGCATCCACTGTAGAGGCTTATATGGCAACACTGCCATCAAAACCTATTCTTATCATAGAAAATGACATTTTAATAGCTGTCCACTGTAGTGACCGTCATGCATGAAAGGGTTAAAGCGTCATAATAAAGCACATCAAAATAGCAGTCCAGTCCGGCGATTATGAAAAGATACATGCCAATGCGTATTAGGTACGAGTCATGGATACACAATATCATAGAAAATGTTGCGTCCTTGCTTTGCAATGTGTTGGCATAAAATACAAATGGATTGTTTGTTACATTGTAAATCGTTTACCCACCCCAATCAGTGCAAGTCTTTGTAGAAAAGGTGGAATTTCTAGCATGGTTCAACCGCTGGTCCTTCCAGTGGGATATTTAAATATATATATATACATTATATATATATATATATCCTGTCTGAAATCCTTTATTTTGGTCAACCTGAGTCATGGAAACTTTGCAAATGTAGTTGCGGTAGAGCAGCAGTTCGGTATAAATGAAAATGGCACAGTTCTTCATGGTTTATGGTGCATGTGATCAACCAGTTTGCACTCGACTTCCAGCTATAGAAGCGAACAGCAGCACATTTTGAAAAAAACCCAGTTCAAATCTTTTATTTATGTGTAGTAGGCCTTACTTATCACCTGTCAATGAAAGTGATTGTGTGAACAAATAAAGTTGTATTATCTTTCACAAACAAAAAAAATACATTGATTTTTGGTATATTTCTATGCACTCCCGTAAAAAAAACCCATAATGTTGCTGTTTTTGAGGATATTTGTGCAACTTTATAAAATAAAAAATTGTATCCAAACACATACATTGTATGTATGTATGTCTCCTATAAACACATTTTAAGGTGAAGAAAAGATGTGCAAAACATCAAAAATAAAATTATACAACAAATTTTAAAGAAGATTTAAAACGTAAGCAGTGAATTCTATAAAACCAGGGGTGTCAAACATATGGCCTGCGGACCAAAACCGACCCCTTTTGGAGTTTCAATCTGGCCCACTTGAATTTTGAAAAATAAAATAATTCACAAACAGTTCATGTTCAGGAAATGATTTGTAAAAATTACAGTATATCTCACTAATATAAAAATGTATCTAATGTACATTCTGCACGAAAACAAAATGGGAAAACGGTTATCTATACGATGTTGCGATTTTACAGGTCAAACAACAATAAGCAAAAAAAAAAAACAAAACAAAAACATTTTAGAGGTAAGTATGATTTCCTTAACTTTCTTAAC